AAACGGAGGCCACGATCTCGGCGGGGACGGAGTGGATCCAGAGCGCACCGGCGTTGAGCTCGGGCTCGGCGGGGTCCAGGGCCTCGCGGGCCTCCTACGGACCTGGTAAACAACATATACACGAGATGAACACGCGGACGCACCTTGGTCAACCCCGGCTGGGGCTTCATGTTCAGCCTCGACTGCTGCTCCAGTCGACGCGGGCACGCAATACTATAGCACAGCTGATCCCGACTGCATGTCGGGCTATAGCACTCCAGCAGCAGCGTAAACACGCCCGACGGCAACGGCGCCTCCTCCTCCGCCTCGACCTCCCCCTTCTCGCCCACCCCATCCACCAACTCGGGTGTACCCTCTCCGCCCCCACTCACATTCGCCGCAATCGTCGCCCCCGCTCCCGCCGCCAACTCCCCGCTCCCAAACGGGCTCGGCAGCTTCGTCCGAAACTGATACAGCTCCGCGACACTATCCCTCAACCGATGGTCGTACGTCACATCATGGAAAAACTTTTGCGAGTCGAGCGCGCGCCCGAGGAGCAGCGCCAAACTCCTGTCCGTCGTCTTTATAATATGTGCAATCCGATCCACCGCCTCGCGCCCGTCAAACGCATCGTGGTAGGTGAGCCCGTCCTTGACGCGGTCCGCGCGCGGTACCCGCTGCCGGAACACCTCTGCCACGCGCGACAGCAGTGCGGGGTACACGATCGGCGCCGCCGCGCGCTTGGGTTTGGGCGTCGTCGCCGCACTGCCTGACGCCGCAACGGTGGACGAGGACGAGTTGGGGTGCGCGGGAGCGTTGGGGCCGAGGGGCGAGATGCCGGGGAGGGAAGGCGCGGTGGGCGACGTCGGTGTGCTGACGGCGCTCATGCTCATCGCGCGGTCTTGCGCCGTGCGCTCGCGCCGCGGGCCCACCAGACGGGGCAGCGTACGCGCAGTCTCGGAGGAGCGGCGGGAGGCGGAGGCGATGTGTGATGAGAGCCCGCTACTGGGCGAGGGCACGAATCCGTTGCCGTTGCCGTTGCCGACCACCTCGTGGTCAAAGGACGTCGGCGACGTGGAGGAGCTGGCGACGGACGAGCGGATCGAGGTCGGCGGCGTGTCGGACGCGCTGGAGAATCGGTGCCCCGGCTGTGGATACCGCTGCGCAAACTGTGCGTACTGTGGTGGAGGTGGTGCGCCGTGCGGTTGTTGCGGTGCTACAGATACAGAGGCAGAGTGAGCACGTGAACGTGAGCGCGGCGCGTCCAGAGAGGACCGCAGATAGGCCAACATGGCGATGAGAGGAAGAATGAAAGGTGGAAGGAGAAAGTAAAAAGGTAAAAGGCCGCCACCCACGCGCGTCACCACCGCATCCAACGCGCCGCAACCTCGTTCTTGGTTTATTCCATTCCACTCCATCGCTTGGATATGATATACCACGCGTATCGGACGATCGCACGTCATCATCCTCGGACCCAATAAAAAGACGCGACATGAACCGCACCCGAGCGCGAACAGTGACGTCGAATGGTAGACGCCCGTGCGTCGAGTTCGAGCTGGACGCCGTCGTCGCCAGATCCCCGCGATCGCGTAGATACGGAAATCGCGGCGTCTGGCTAGGCAGCGCGGGGAACGTGCGTTGAGCCACTCAGGACACGGGCAGCGCCGCGGCAGCAATGCAAAGACAAAGAGAGGAAAATCCAAGGGAGATCGGAAACAAGAGGAAGGAAAAGGAAACGTACATGGTGGATCTGCATATGAAAACAAAAACAAAATGGTCAGTGATCGATCGCAGGACAAATGTGGAGAAAAGAAAAAGAGCGGCGGACCCGAGGTCTTGCTGGGTAGATCCCCTAAACCTCGTCCACGTCAAAGCCGTTTGAGAATCTCGCATGCGAATAAAACCCTCGCGGGAGAACTCGCCCCTTCCAAAGAGTACGAAGTGACGGGCGAGACCCGACAGCCCCCCAAGGGGCCAGGACACGAAACGGGAAGGATCGGAGGAGGGGGGTAGGACAGAACTCACGTCGTGCTGCAAAGAAAGGTCGTCAGCGAGGGTACACTTTCAGGGTGAAGTCGGGAAGCCGTAAAGATGGAAAAGGAAAGACGAAGAACATAACAGGGTGGATAGCAACGAAGGTGACAGCCTCAATGCAATGCGGGAGAAGAAATAGCGCGATTCGATGCGGGGTGACGGAGAAGGTGAGAACCCCGCCTACATGCCGCTCTCGAGCTTCGGAGTCGGGTTTCCTGACAAGGACTGCAGTCGACCGCAAAGTAGATGTACCGGCGCCGAATCCGCACCCTGCACATCCACAACGACTCGTCGGATTCCCGAGCTCGGTGCGGGGTGAATCACTGCAGTGACAGCGACGTGGTGACAGAGGGCGTGAATGGAAGGAACCCCTCGCCCGCGCGCACACCGGGCGTCCTAGGAGGGTAGGACGACCCAGGAAAACGCACATCACCCGCGGGAACGCGCGCCAGAAGGGAAGGTACGACAGCGAAAATACCGCATGCGCCTTGCCTTCTTCGTCCTCCCGATGAAATAAAAGTCGTCCCAGGAGAAAATGAAAGCGGTAGGGGGCGAACAAGGCAAACGAGGAAAGAAAACCAAGGGGAATGAGGGGAGGAATGAGACTCACGTAGTGCTTCGGCTGTATCAGAAAATAAAGGAAAACGGATGGTTAGTAAGGAATCGTCGCAATCGCAAGTCAAGGGCAGAGAGGATGGAGGGAGGAAGGAGGTAGCAGATGGATTTAAAAGCCGGGCACAGCGCCAATCTTCAGGTTTCCCCTAGCCCGAGCGGACCGACGGTGCTCGTAGCTCCCATTCCGAGCAGCGCAACAACTCCGTGCTGTCCGTCCCGAGCACGCAGCGCCACCCGCGGCTGCCCACCCGCGATACGCGCGGATGCGAGATGGGGATGGATGGAGAGAAGGGGGAGGGAAGCGAGATGGTGACGTCTGTGGGGTCGGTGTCGCGGGGAGCGCGAGGGGTGGTGCGCGGTGCCAGCGCAGAGTCGCAGAGTAAAGCAGGGCGCGGCCCCGCCATCTCACATCCGACGCCAGGAAACAGAATAAAGGGATGAATAATAACACACCTCTCGCCCAAGGCAACTCGCTCTCCTCGTCCTCGTCTTCCCCGTCCCCATCCCCCTCCCCCTCCTCCGCGATAACCGCGCCATTCACATTCACACCATTCCCATGCGCATTCCCATTCAGCACGCTCTCCCCCCACGCCCCCTCCCCCTCAAAGTCAATGCCGAGCCGCCCACCCCCGCCCTCCTCGTCGATCGCCAAGCTCAGACTCGGCGGTGCGGGGGTTCCATTGGGGCCAGGCGTACGCTGGGCGGCGACCTGCGCCTGGTACGCCTGCGCGGGTGTGCGCCCCGCCGCGTCCGCCGCGGGTGGATACGCTACGGGCGCCGCCAAGTGCTGTTGCGACCCATGCTGCTGCTGATGTTGCGGTGGGTAGTGCTGCTGCTGGCCATACGCTGAGTGCGCGTAGCCCGGGCCAGGGCCTGGGGGGTGCATGGAGCGTATACTAGGCGCGCGGAGCGAGGGGGCACCTCCTCCTGGTCCGAGTTGCTGGCCATAGTATCCTTGCGGCTGCTGCGGATAGCCTGCCTGGCGTGGTGGGTACGGGGCATACTGGGGTGCGTATTGCGGTTGCTGCGGCTGGTACTGTGCTTGCTGGGGGTGATATGGCTGAGCCTGATACTGATATGGCTGCTGCTGGGGTGGGAGACGGGCACCAGGCGGGGGGAGAGGGGAGTGGGTCTGTGGGCGTCGGCCGAATATGTCCTCGTAGGCAGCTGTGCGCTCTGGAGGCTGCTGGCGGGGGCCGAGTGGGCGGTCCATTGGTGTGGCAGCGAGCAGCAGCGACGGGAGCTTACGTTATTGGGACTCCGCCCATCCACAACTCTCATCAACTACGTCCATCTCCCCTTGCCATGTATCTTGGCTCTGTAGAGATACCCTCCACACTAGACAACCTCACAAGGATGCGTAGAGAAAGCTTTGGTCTGATTCGCGCGGTGCAGGAAATCTGCGTTGTTCTGAACTCCACGCAACTCGCTGGCGCTCAAACTCTGGACGAGAAATACTACTCGAGCCTTGCGTTTACGAGATCCCCTCTACGTTGGTGAACGACCTCCCAAGAATGTGTAGTGAAAAACTCGTGGACCGTCTGATTTTCTACGGCCGCATCAATGGGGCAGTGGTATCCTGCGTTGTTTGTACCACTGCGAAAGAAGATGTTCACTACCCTGGTCTCGCTACGTAATCCTTGCCTCTACGAGACGCACTCTACGTTAGACGAACCCTCAAAATTGAGTGGAAACCTGGTCTGACTTGCGCGGCTGGATCAGTGCTGCATTTCTCGCAGATGACCTCCGAAGGGACGTTCGGCTTCAAGAGGGGCTCGTAATTCTCCATAACTTCAGACAAACTGTTCGCCACGGACCACTCTCTGGATCGTCGGAGCAAGAGATCTCTCTCAGTCCTCGACTTATATATGGCGGAGTACTTGTCATCACTAAGCCACCCAAATCCACTACCCCCAAAATGAAAGTACGTCAAGTCCCGTACCCTTCCCCTTGGTTTCCCTACATCCCGTACCATCCAAGCCGGCGTTAAACCGTTGAAATTCACCAAGTCCTCTCTCCTATCGGCCTTAGCGCTTATTTTCTCCTCTCATACTGAGACAAGGTCGGACATATAGCATGGCATTAATGGGGTAGTGGTAACCTGGGTCGTTGCCAACGAATCGCAAGATTCGACCCGCCGGGGGTTCGATTCCCTCTTAATGCATTCTTTTGGTGGTCTGGGCAAGCCAAGGTTTTTATCTATGGCACGAGTCCGCTCAATTTTTTTGGTTTTGCCCTGTTTTCCTGGACCCGACGCATATACTCAGGCTTCTGTCTTCCTGATCCTTAACTGGGGGCTCAAGAATGTGTTGAGTAGGTTTCTCCTACCCTGCATGTGCACATTAGCCCTAGCTTGGGCAGGTCTGATCAGCTCTTGACTAGTATATTGGTTTAGTACAGCCCGCTTGTCATATGTGATGTTGAATAATGTCTAGGCGCGGCAGAGCTGGGTTCGACTCCCAGGTCGAGAGTTCTTTTGGCTCCTTTGCCTCGCTCACAAAGCTTTTTCGAAGATGTGCCTTGATTCCCTTTCTCCTAGGGTTAAATGAAGGTTGCGTTCATTTGTTGTCACCAATGTTTGAAGGGAGGGGGGAGAGAGCTTTTGCCATGATACAACTGAATTGTTGTAGGCAAGTTGTAGCATCATGTTGTGAGGTCAGTGATCCGGCTATGCCTGTCTCACCGCCTCAGCCACTCCTCCAACCGATCCGGATGCATGCAATACAACGACACGTCAAAAACCCTCGAAATCTCGGAGACTTCTGAATCCGGAAATTGGATTGCCTAATGCGGACACCAACACATCTAGAAAAGCACAGCTTGAGCGCAGACGACTCACTCGCCTGACAACAATGTCCAGGATGCCAAAAACAGAGTGAACAGCACCCCTGAAGTTACGGAGCGAACCCGACTCTCATACAGAACACAGCCCAGTCACAGATTCCCTCAAGCAACCAACGGAGCTAACCACGGGCACCAGCTCCACGACTGCCAACAGTAACACCTCACATGACAAAAGCTTCAAACTTTCACCGACTCACCAACCCCACCAACATCTGATTTTTTCACACCGGAAATCCCTCCAGCCACCGAGATGACGGACATGGGACCTGTTGCAAGCGAGGCTGTGTGTGACCATGCGGTAGGGAGTGCGATGGGCAAAAACATGCTCCTCGGAACTTCAAAGAAACTATTCAAAACCCCTCAAACTTACCTGGGCAATTTAAACCCTCCTCGAACCTTCGAAGGCATGACACTCACTCGTCATTTACTCGCACAATGTGTCAGGCGTACCATGCGGAACACTTCTTGTGGCTGAACCGGAAAAGGTATACAAGGAGGAACCAGAGAACAGGTAGTCAGTCAATTACCGGGCTGAGTCTTAGGCTTGCCCAGAGGGCTGTTGTATTTGACTTGAAGAAGGGTTGCTAAATATTTCAACAAGTTTTGCTGGAAAAATGAACAACTAGTTCTCAAATTGATGTGAAGCAACTACTCCGATCAATTCCTGTGGCGGACTCTCAAGGCGGATAGATTTTGGAACTAGTCAATCAAATTCTAACCAAAATTCCCACAAATATTTGGGAGGCATCTTGGACAGTGTTTCCACAGAACGGTTGTGCTGGATTTTCAACTTAGGTCTCAGATAGGAAGCATACAGTGAAGACTTCAAACTCCTCCCAATGTAAGGAACCTTCAAATATACGTATGCATTCTCAAATTTCCGTCTCGTTTACCTTTGAATAGTCTCGAATCGTGCTTGAATTTGTATTTGTTACATTCGGTAGATATGAGTAGCTGGTAGATACACGAATAATCAATCTACTCTTTCACCACAACTATCGCCCATTGGCCTTTCCACGCCCCGTCGATATACTCCGGGAGTCTGATAGAGGCACGAGCGCTCTAGTAAACACTCACGAAACAAGGTGCAACATCTATACGCCCTTCACGACTTACAACAGGAAGACTCCAGTCTATCTCCCCTCATCTCGACTATTCGGAGAGGTCGAGTTTCAGTCGCATAGAGTGCTCGGCTATCCGGCCTCTGACTGGAATTCCTTAGAGATAGACCGTTAATATAAAAGGTCTTCACCACATTATTACGAATTGCGAACCCCCTGGATAACGCGTACGACGCTCCTACAGTAGGGATTTCCGGATCCTTACACCCAAAAGGGCAATTTCACGTGACCCAACCGTATTGTATGGCCGCTACCTTTGGATCAATGATATTCTTGTGCACACAGTTACAACACATCCCGAACTTTTTGTATATGGTCTATTAGTAGCTGTGTGGTCGGTATTGAATGATCTTATTTTTATATGGCTCGAACTGTTGAACACCGCCTGTATATGGATCTGCCACATCTGCTTCTTCGGAATGTGTTTCAAGCCCAGCATTCTGATAACCAAGCCTGTGATGCCGGAAACTGAAAGATGTGAACCAGTTTGTACTGCTGTTCATCCCGTTGTTCAACAGATATGATGGAAATGAAAGATATCAAGATACTGCCGCAGCAACCTTATAAGAGACCCATGCACAATGTGATTGCATCCCTTTCCAAGATGCCCCACCCACGTACCACTGCTGCAACCCGTGTGAACAACATCACAGCATATTTGACACCTGCTTTGACCTTACTGGATGAGCTCAATGATGCTTTTGGCCTACCATATGTACAGCCAATTATCAAGACCACCCAGGCTCTTATCACAGGAGTGCAGGTATGGCTTGCAACACAAATATATATAGTGCGACTGATGAGGAAGTATAGAATGTCAAGCACAACAAAGATGAATGCTTTCAACTACTCGTCATCCACAAAAGTAACCGGAAATTGATCTCTTGTGCTGTATTACGTAAAGGTAGCCCAACAGCCTTCCACCAGAATAAATTTCTACATATTCTCCCCGATTCCGTCACTTGTTTCATGGGAATCGGTTTGGTATTCATCTCAAGGACTGTTGAAATTTCAGTCATGCATCGTGAAACTGCACTAGTTTTTCGATTGTTGCAAAGAAACCTTTAAAGAAAGTTGTAGGAATGCAGTAAAAATTTAGGAAAGCCCTCAGATATGCCTTCCAGCATTCTGTGTCTATCCTCTAAGGTTTTCAGACCACTAAAAGATGTTGTGGGCCTCAAAATCTGGGCAACAACCCAAAAGGTCTGCAAAAGGAAATTTCTGATTTCCTGAGGGATTCTACGACGTGAGGGTCCTAAAAAAAATTAGTGATCACTATGGGGTATTCCCCATGGCAGCACCAACCAGATTACACGCAGAAATTAAGCCGCAGGTAGCGGAATTCCTGATTTGGCAGAGCTGTTGAACCTGCCAATGTCTTCTTCGTCACAAATCACCGATAATGCAGCAATTTTAGGCTCTCCTTAGGAGCTCCTTGCATCTGGGGCATGTGTTGGAACCCGCCCGCAGTACCCAGGTCAACACTGGCCATGTTGTTGCAGCCATGGTCATTTCTAGGGCATATTTTTGAGCATAGTTGTCAAAATTGTTTCACATCAAATTCTTTCAATTTTGGCACACACACTAGGTGTTTTTGATGTGTATAAATGGCGGACAGGTGTGAAAGGATCCTATTCAGTATACTGATGTGCTTGGAACCAGAAAAAGCTCCAAAAGGAGGCTAAAATAAGCGGATTTCCGGTTACTTCTGTGAATGATGAGTAGTTGGAAACATTCACCAAGTTCTCTATCCAATCATTCAGCTGCATTTGAAGTCTGAGGCTCTTGACACTGGACCTCTGGCAGTTTTTGAGGCCATTGGGGATTTCACAATGTATGTAAACACTCTTGTCTGGAAGTCTCTGGACACTGAATTTACCTAGTACCCTGCACAAGATATACATGTTCATTGAGATACAGCAGGATGGGAACAAAATCAAACAGTTCTTCCGCCAGGCTGAGGCCAACAAATTGCTCAAAGATTGCCAGGCTGGATTGGACCAGGCCCTTGAGGTGTTCAAGGTAAGGTTTGGCTTCAAGCCCCTTGATTGCGGATCTGAGCAGTTCAACAGGGCCAGACAGGAATCACAGTCTTGAGTGATGTTATGCAAGTCCAGACCTAAGCGGACAATATGCACAAGGAACTGTTTGAGCTCATCTCGGCACTGTCTGACAGTGATGGCACAATGTCAGACCGGTCCTCGTTGGTAGGAGGGTTTGCACTTGTGTGGACAGCAGAATATAATTCAAACCTAGGTGCTTTATGGAATGTCCAATAGCTCTCAAAAGAGGTAAGCCAAGCCTGCTGTGAATATTTGTACATGATTCTGAATCCACATGAAGCTCAACCTCATTTTCATTGCTTCCTTCAAAGCCAAAGATATTCTATGGTCGCGAACCAGAGTTGCAGCAAATTCTCAAGGTTCTAGCCCAGGAAGCACCAAGGATAGCTATCCTTGGACCTGGGGGTATGGGGAAGACATCACTTGCTAGAGCGGCCCTCCATCACAGTGACACCTGCAGCAAGTTTCAGGTCAGATCTTTTGTTAGTGCAGAGGCAGCGACAACAGCCGTTGAGCTAGCTGCACTAATTGGTCTACACCTGAATTTGGAGCCAGGGCTGAACCTAATCAAGCCTGTTGTTCGGTATTTTGCTCGACAAACCAGTCCCTGCCTCTTGGTGCTGGACAATCTGGAGACACCATGGGAGCCTTTGGAGTCCCGTAATGCAGTGGAAGAGTTTATCTCACTTCTTGCTGATGTGAACCATCTTGCCCTGATTGTGGGTTTTCTCTTGTCATGTGGAACAGTGTATTGACCACCAGATAGATCACCATGCGAGGTGCTCAGAGACCAGGCAAGGTCCAATGGACTCATCCGTTTTTGAAACCCTTGGAACCCTTGCCAGACGCTGCTGCTCTGCAGATGTTTGAGGAGATCACAGATGATTCTCATCTCAGTGATGAGAAAATCCAGCTTTTGCAGTACACCGAGAACATGCCTTTGGCACTGGATCTCATGGCCCATCTCGTGGAGTGTGAGGGCCTTTCAAATGTGCTTGCCCGCTGGGAAACAGAGAAAACAAGTCTCTTGTCCAGTGGGCACGACAGAAGATCAAATATGGATGCCTCCATTGCAATCTCTCTTTCCAGCCCTCGCCTTACCTGCGGAGCTCGGGAGTTGCTTAGCCTTCTCTCCATTCTGCCGGATGGGCTCTCGGATGTTGAACTGGTTCAAAGCAATCTCCCAATCAAGGGAATTCTATCTTGCAAATCTGCCCTCATTGCCACATCTTTGGCATTTAAAGACAACAAAGGGCGACTTCGGTCATTGGTGCCAATTCGAGAACATGTTCGACAGTTATCCCCACCCCCAGAGGCTCTTGTACAATCACTTCGGAAGTTGTTTCATGACCTCTTAGGCCTATTTCAGAAGTATAGTGACTCACGTCTCAGCAATGTTATCGCACAGATCACTGCTAACCTTGCCAACCTTGATGAGGTTCT